GCATGGCCCTTGGAAAAAAAAAAAAAGCCTAGAGATTTTTATGCTAAGTCTTAATTGTTCAAGGCTTAGAGAGCCACATGCCAAGAAACAAGTCTTCTGTTTCATTCCTTCTACAGGGAAATCAGAGTTTGATTCAGTCCTGTTAATTTAAAAACAATGTTCAAAGATCGTCAGTCAAGAAGGGTAATGGCATCTTTATATTGACTGATGAAGCAGGCTGCTGGTTATGAAAGTTCATACATCTGTAATTTAATTAGGTGTAAATCTACCCTCCCTTCTGCCTGATGTCATACTAACAGAGCCAAATACCTCTTTCTCCTAATGACATCTTTACCATGGATGATATCCTTATGCCCCCTTTGTGGACATTACTTTGAATAGCTCCAACTTCAAGCATAACACAAAATTTCCCATTTCCTGTTTTTGTACATGTAGTCTCACTTGGTTGTAGCCTGAGAGGTACAAGAGGAGAATAACTGTGGTACTAGACCAATGGTTGACCTTAGCCCCATTATGGAATGAAGATGAAGATCTGGCCCTTACAGGTTGATCTTCTGGATGAAGATCTAGCCCTTACAGGTTGATGGTACCTTTGCTGGGTGTGGGGGAGGGTGAAAGAATTTGTAATCCAAAGGTACAGTACACTGTACCTTTGGGTTACAAACAAGGGAACCAGGCACCTTCCAACTTACAGAGGGACAAATTAAGGACACATTTTTATTACCCAATTAAGACCCAAATGCCTTATCTTAGTTAAGGTTATCATCTGACTCTGACACCAAGGAAGGTTACTAAAGCAGTTATTCATATTGATTTTCATATTTGGTGGCTTATTAGAATTAACCAGTTTTCTGTGTATTGTTAGTATAATCCGTTGAGTACATATTTAATTTAGTGTGTGAGGTATTTGTTTCCGGAGGTAGCAGTGTTGACTCAGGATGCTGTGAAAAGTGAAATATTTGTTTTTTAGTCATTTTATTGACTAGCATTAAAACAATGTTCCCATGAATGCACTTAAACCCAAGTATAATGATTTCACAAATCATTTCCCTATTAGTACTTTAACACGTTCAATGAGTTTTATGTAAGGTGCTGAGTATCCTCAGTTCTTACTGAAGTCAAACTAGTCCTTGAAGTAAAATCAGGTGCACGGGAGTCAGTGGATATTACAGACTTAGATTTGCAATGTGTTCATCTGATTGGATGTGGCAGCTTTTTTCAGAGAGTCCCTTCCCATAGGGAGACTAATTCTCATTTGAAGTTATTAGGGGTGCACCAATAAAGATTTTCTTGGCCAGTACCGATAGCTGATTATTAACTAGCTGTATTGGTTGATGCCGATCCAATAACTGATTTACAGGAACACAGACAGGCAGCATGGAGAGTAGTTCCCTGCAGGTAAGTCTGTGGAGGGGAAAGGGCGTGGCTGGGGGTGCAGATTGAGGCCCCTACGATAAGGGAGGAAGTGAGGCAGGGGCAGGGGCTTGGGGGTGCTGCCCAGCCAGGGTGGTGAATTGGGACCTGAGGCTGGGGCGTGGAGTGGGATGGAGCCATGGGTGGCTCATCCAGGGAACGTGGGAGGAGATCAGTGTCCTGGCGCTCACCAAATGAGCTTTAGTTCAAGCACCACTGCCATCATTTTTAAGAACAGGGATGATTTTAACCGGAGCAGAACCCAACGGGGCGAGGGCGGATGCAGGCTGCCCATGGTGGGCTTGGGGCTCCCCACTCTGCTGCCTTTGCCCAGGGAGCACTGTGCTGCCCATGCATCCCCTGCCCACCAGGCAGCATGAGGCACAACTTGCCACCCCCAGTGCTGCAGGGTGGGCAGGGGGCACACAGCCAGTGCAGGGCTCCCAAGGCAAAGGCAGCATGGCAGAGAGCCCCAAGCTCACAGCAAGCAACCTACATCCATTCTGTGCACAAATCTGGGGGGACACATGCCCCCACCATGCCTCCTTCAAGGGTGCATGCAGCAGCGGGGAGCTGCCCCTCCCATGCCCCCTCTATGCGCTGTTGCGGCTTCATCCTACTCTCCGCCTTGGCCTTGGGTCCCATTCGTTGCCCTGGCTGAGTAGCTGCCCCAGCCCCTGCCCCACTCCCCCCACAACCGTGGGGGCCCCAATCTGCCCCCGCCCCCATGCCCCTTCCCCTCCACAGACTTACTTGCAGGGAGCTGCTCTCCTGGCTGCCCAGCTGTGTATCTGGCCACATGCATACATACTGTCACACACATGCATGCAGGGTCCAGGGACCCCAGTCAGAAGGCATAATTAATTATATTTATTGATGAACATTATGGATTACACCAGCCAAAAAAAGCCTTTAGCCTATAATATAGATTTCCCTTTTATCAGTGCTGATTCGATATGCAACTGATATATTGGTGTACCTCTAGAAGTTAAGTGAATTTCAATGTGAGTAGTTAATATGCCTCCTCAATCTGGATTCATATGCTGTCTCTCTCACCCTGGAATCTGAGCATCTTTCACATGTATTAAAAGGAATTGAAAGACAACTTGTCTGTCAAACCATAGCATCCAGTTCCTCTTTTAGAACCCGGCCTGTCTCTTTTTTTTTTTTTCTCTTTCTTTTCAAAATTTTTGTTAGGTTTCCTTTGTCCCATCCCATCCCCCCTCTCCCCCCACAAATGTGATTAATAATTACTTTTCAAACTAGTAGTTGTGGTTGTCTCACAATCTTAAAGAATCTTTCAAAGTTTGGGTCAAATTCCATGCTGCAATAAACTTTCCCATTCTTGTTAGTTTTAATGAACGTTGTTAGCTTACACCAGCAGGGAGTTTGTTCCTTTTTCTGAACACTTGATATAATTATATTGCAAAATGCTTGTCTTGGGCTGTACTGTTTCCATGTGTTCATTTCAAAACTGATGCTGCCTATTATTTCAAGTAAGATTAAAAAGTTAAAAGACATTTCAGGAACTGTTGCATGATTCAAATGTGCCATAGTTTCAGGGAGTTTTTTTAAATATTAACTGTCAACTTTGTTTTCTCCCCTCAGTGCTAATAAAATATATCCATTCCTGTGCTCTAATGACTTCTTAAAAGTGGCAGCATTCCATGGAAGTGATAAATTTGAATTACCGTATGGTATAAAGAGAGCAGGTCAGTATTAAGGATGTGTCAGGTTTTAAATGAAAGCTACCTCTTATGGTCAATTACTACATGTATCTTTCTCTTTTTTACTCAGGAGTACTACCTGGTTTTAATCTATTATTAACAGAGAGGAGACATGCTGTAGAGAGCTAGGACCTGAGAGATGTTGAGTTCTAATCTTGGCTTTGCCCCATACTTGCCCTGTGAAATTGAGCAGTTCACATAAACCCAGATTTTTAGGCATTACTTTGCTCTCCAGTACAATGCACAAGTGATATATAGGAGTCAGGTCAGAGGGCGCAGACAGTAGTGACAATTTTCACCCAACCTGGCCACAGAACGCAGTTTATAGCTGTGACCAAACACAAGTGCATGACTGCAGACATCCTGGAAAATGGCTGGTTGGGTGAATATCTGACCCCCTCATTGCAAGCTATGGGGCTCTTCAGCCTGGAAAAGTGCAGGCTCAGGGGTGATCTGGTGGCCACCTATAAGTTTATCAGGGGTGCTTGTCAGGATCTGGGGGAACGTCTGTTCACCAGAGCGCCCCAAGGGATGACAAGATTGAATGGTTGCAAACTCCTCCATGACTGTTTCACGCTGGACATAAGGAAGAACTTCTTTACTGTCCGAGCCCCCATGGTTTGGAAAAGACTGCCGCCAGAGGTGGTTCAAGCACCTACTTTGAGCGCCTTCAGGAGACATTTGGATGTCTATCTTGCTGGGATCCTATGGCCCCTGCTGACTTCCTGCCCTTGGGCAGGGGGCTGGACTCAATGATCTTTCGAGGTCCTTTCCAGCCCAAATGTCTATGAATCTATGCATAACAGTAACCCCTTAATGGAGAGGTTTAAAAAAAGAGCATCTTCTGTAACTTCTGTCTGTGCTGCCTGCCAGCCTTGAGCTGTTTTCAGAATGGGAGAGGGTAAAGGGAGTGGAGGGAATCAGTCCGGGGGGTTTTCAGCCCTCGCTGGAGGGTGGGGTGGGTGTATTGGAGCTGCCCTTCTTCTCCCCCCCCCCGAGGTGTGAGGTCTTCCAATTCACCCACCCAACCCACCAGTGCTAGCTGCGGAAACCCTAGAACAAGCTCCCTCTGCTCCCTTTCCTGCCCTCCCATTCTGAAAACTTTGCAACCTTGCAGGGAGCAGGGGCCCTTGCTAGGGGAAACCAGCTGCAGGCTGCAGCTAACAGTGAACTTCTGTTTGTTTCAGAGGATTGTTGTCACTCGGTGCACTTCCTGCAAAGCATTCTCAGTTACAGCAGGGAGCTACATTTTTGCCTGCACCATTATTGGAACTAAAGCTATATCAATGTTTGCAGTGTTGTGTCAGGTCTGGGGCGAAGATGGGCAATCTGTGACCAGTTAAGCTCTTTTGACAAAAACTCCCAGCACAGGCACAGCTTATACCAGAAGAATCACAGTTTGGCTGGTTACCACTTTTTTCCATGAGAAGGAGATGAAGAACTAGCAGTTTTGTCTGTATACCTGCATCCACACAAGAAGCACTTTGTAGGGATAGTATCATGCTACTCCTATACCAGGACTACACTCCTAGTCCAGACATGGTCTTGGGTTCCTAAGTGCCTAAACGACCTGTTGAAGTCAAGGCTTTGTGTAGACATTTCCTTAGGTTCCGTAGGGTCCTTTGGCCTTATAGGTGTTGTCCTGCATGGCACTAAGTTTATAATCTTGGTTTTAGTTTCTTTCA